ATATATGCACGTAATGGTGGTGCACAGGAAAGGGTGGATAAAATGAGCAAATACGGGTACAGTGATTGTCATTTAGTAATCCCTCAATAAATAGTCAATATAGTTAGAGTATCAACTGTTTGGAGCAGGGGATGAGGGGATGAAAGGATGGGGCTGGAAGATGGGTCTGGAAGGATAGGCAGAGGTTAGAACTATGTTGTCTAGTACGGTAGCCACAAGCCACACATGGCTAATGAGCATTTGAAATGTGGCTAGTCCAAACTGAGATGTGTTATAAATAAAATATGTCACAAATTTCTAAGATGTAGTGTGAACAACCAATATAAAATATCTCAATACTTTTAATGATTAATTTATGTTAAAATTATAACATGTTGGATATATTAAATAAATATTATGAAAATTAATCTCACCCTTTAAAATTTTTATAAATGTGGCTAGTAGAAAAATTTAAATTTAAATAGAATAGAAATTATATTTCTATTGGACAGCACCAGGCTAGATCATCAATTGCTATTCCAACCTTTTCAAACGGATCTTGCACCTTCTCCTATGATCCATCTGGTCAACCAGGTTGGAAAATTGGGAGATGTAATCGATGGCCCCCTCTCGCTTGGCCCCCACAAGTTGTTGATTATATTTCCTTAATACCATGCACGTCTGTCCTCTTCGCCATTTCCACTGCTGGCCTAGGATATTGCAAACCCATTTAAATGCTTTCTCTACCCAATGGCTCTTCTCCAAACTATACTGCTCCTTAAATCTTTGAGTCTCCCCACAACCTCCATAGACATGCAAAATTCCTCATCAAGGCATAAAATTCCCTTAATGATCTGCCCTCAGCTCTATAAACACTCTCCTACCCCACCGCTACAAGCTTAGCTCCAATCACGTCTTTGCAAGTGCATCTCCCCCTGCCTAGAGCAGCCCCTCCCCCAAGCCAGCTCCTGGCACATAGCACCAGGGTTAAGTGTCAGCCCAGGGCTCCAGTTCTGGCTCTGCAATTTATTGTCAAACATTGAAGAAGTTGCTAAATCTCTCCGAGCCTCATTTTTCTTCTCTCTAAAAAAGGAATCTACCTTTCAGAACTTTTATAATGATTAAGGAAGGTAATGCCCATGTGGTACCTGACTCGGTAAAATCTCCGATAAATGTTTTTGTCAAACACTGCCCAGAGAAATGTTCCTTGCCACTCCACCTACACACACACACACGCGCACGCACACACACACACATTCTCTCTCTCTCTTTCCTCTCCCTCTCTCTCTCTCTGTCTCTCTCTCTCTCTCTCCCTATCCTCCCCCTTTTCTCCCTGAGCTTCCATGGCACTCTTTCTGTTCACTCCTCAATCATACCTCTTCTCTCTGTATTGTAGCCACCTGTGCACTCATTCTTGCCTCTAGATCAGCGGTTCTCAAAGTGTGGTAATAGGTAGAGCAGACCCAGTATCCCCTGGGAACTTGTTAGAAACATAAATTCCTGGGGCCCACCCCAGACCTACTAAATCAGAAACTCAGGCTGGGCCCAGCAATCAGTGTTTTAACAGGCCCCGCAGGTTGTCCGATACTTGTACCTTTGAGAACTGCTAGGCTGGGTCTCTACGGCTGAGATCACATCCAATTCACCTTGCTCTGCCGCCCGCTCAGTAGCTATTTGTCAAGTGAAAATGTGTATGAATAAATCCTGATGATGGTGTGAGATCATAGAAGGATATCAAGAGAAGAATGTCAGGATATGATTGTGTTTGGGAAAGTTGTAAGTTCTACAGGCTGTGTAAAGCTGTGGTCCCCAACCCCCGCCAACTGGTACCCGTCTCTGGCCTGTTAGGAACCTGGGCACAGAGATCCGTGACCTCCCGCCACCCAAATCTGTGGAAAAATTGTCTTCCATGAAACTGGTGCCCAAAAGGTTGGGGACCGTTAGTGTAAAGTATTAGAGGCAAGTGAATTTTCTTGTAAGAAAATCATTATTTGAAAATCTAGATTTACAATTCAGATGGAAAAAAGTGTTTACAAAAACTATGCCTTGCTTTTCAAAATATTTTTTACAAAATCCTCTTAACATGTATTATTGTGATATTTACACGTAGTGTTTTGTAAATTTGTCAGGAAAAGTAGGTATATCTATATGTAAAATTTGTCAACAAAGATATTCTTCCACAAACTATGATTTAACTTCAAAAAGAAAAACAGTTCTAAATGTCTTACAGAGATTTTGTATTTGTGGATTTTCTAAGTATGTAGCACAATCCTCTTGTTAGGATTATAAAAGTAAAAATTTATAGCAAGAGAATGTATGAAAAAATGAAAACGTTATTTAAACTGGGCATCTACCCAAAGGGAAAAAAGACATTCTATAAAAAAGACATCTGCACTCGAATGTTTATAGCAGCACAATTTACAATTGCAAAGATATGGAAACAACCCAAGTGCCCATCAATACATGTGTGGACTAATAAAATGTGGTATATGTATGCCATGGAAAACAATGGTGATCTAGCACCTTTTGTATTATCCTGGATAGTGCTGGAGCCCATTCTACTAAGTGAAGTATCACAAGAATGGAAAAACAAGCACCACATGTACTCAAAATCAAATTGGTATTAACTGATCAACACTTAAGTGCACTTATAGTAGTAACATTCACCGGGTGTCGGGCAGGTGAGACAGGAGGAGGGAATGGGTATATTCACACCTAATGGGTGTGGTGTGCACCGTCTGGGGGATGGACACACTTGAAGCTCTGACTTGGGTGGGGCAAAGGCAATATATGTAACCTACACATTTGTACCCACACAATATGCTGAAATAAAAATAAATAAATAATAGATACATTTTGATATTGACAGAAATAAGAATAGTTGTTTGAAAATATGTATTAGTACAGAGACTATATATTATTCATCTTATTTTGGATTGAAATGAAATAATGCAATCAACTAGAAATATTTCAATGGGAGGCTATTAAAAGAAAAACTAATTGATATTAATACATAGTATAAAGAGTAAAATAAATGCAAAGACACAGCACTCTTAACAGAATTAGAGGGCTGAAGAAGCTCCAAGTTGTTCCCTAGCTTATACTCAGCTCCCATCAGCAGATTCTCATCCTGATAGTTGGGAAGGAATCGAGCCGGTTTATGGGTGGACACTGTATTTGGACCATCAACTCAGGTAAAGATTCCTCTTGACGTCTACATAATCTTCTCTACAAAATGAGGGCTTTTAGCCAATTCCATTTTGATTTCTCCATCTGGAAGACACTGTTGCACACCGTCATTCCTTCTTGCTTGCTAATAGAATTTTAACTTCTATGTTAATACTTCATCGAGGCAGTAGGTTCCCATCCCTGGGAGCAGTCCTGATGTTCTAAACCTGCCCTGGGAAACCCTTTTCCTCTCTGCCTGTGATTGTGCAGTAAGTGGGCACATGGCCCAGTGGGGGTCAGTGAGACACAATGGGAAGTCTGCTGGAGGCTTCTTGGAAAGATTTTATTCTCTAATAAAAGAAAAACAGCTGTGGGAAGAAGATCTCTTTTGCACCCGTCCTTTTACTTCTTTTTTTTTTTTTAGAAAGTGTTGTGTCAGCCGTCGTGGAACCACAGCCTATGCAGGTCTTAGGGAGAGAACAAGGGCCGAGGATAGGAGGAGACCAAGGGTTGAGGAAAGGAACACTGAGGGCCACGAGGGAGGGGAGATTAGGGGACAAGGAATGGTGAGACACTGAGGGGAAAGGGGGATGAGGAGGAGAAGCAGAAAGAGAAGAGACTTCGCAGGTGGGGGAGGGCAAGGAAAAGAGTGGAGGGGTGGGGATGGCATAGGGGCGGGTATTGGGGTAGATTCTGCAAGTCCCAGAGCCCTGGAGTCTTTGTTTCCGGGGTCCTCTTAGGTCTGACAGCCCACCCATTTTTTTAATGGTAAACCTGTATGTACATTTGGTCCATTCAGCCACTGGGTGGTCACCTCCTCCTCTTGCCTGGAACACACGGCTTCCTCTGTAACCAGGCCAATGAGCAGATTTGGTAAACTTGGTGAATTAGTAACTTAGAGAACATTAATAATCCTAAAGTGTCCGAGTGTCAGCTAAACAAAAATGACTTTCCAAAAGATTCAAAAGTGAAAAGAATAAGCTGGATAAACTGAGCATTTCCCATGTGCAATGCTGAAATTTTTGTTATATATTCTTAAGAATATATTTTAAAAGTTTTTGGTTGTTTATTGGCTTAAGTATTTCTTCATGTGAATTGCATATTTATTATATACTTTGTCCATTTCTCATTTGTCTTTTTATTTGTGTGAATTTATATATTATAGATATCAATGCTTTGCCTGTGATAGATACTGCAAATATTTTCTCCCCACTTATTCTTTGGCATTTAAGCCTTTAATCCATTTGAAACTTATTGTGGTGTCTGATACAAGACTGGAATCTAATGGGATTTTTCTGTTCAGAAGTTAGACAATTTTCACAGTACCATTTGTTGAATAATCCATCTAAATCCCATTTATCTGTAATGCTTCCTTCTTAGGATTCAGATGTGGAAGAGTCCATCTCAGAACCATCTATTGTGCTTTGGCCAATTGCCCTATAAATTCTGGCACACAGTTTAATTATTAATATTCTGTTATGATGTGGGATTTTTGGTTCATGTTTTTTGAAGTTTACTGTTCTCATATTTTGATTATTACCACAGCTGAGATTTAGAATCATTCCATTAAGTTAAAATAGAAATATTGGCATTTAGGAAGTTCTTCCTAGTGGATGGAGGATAGTGATATGGATTTATATGCTGCATTAATGCTTGGTGCAAATGTGCAATATGCCAGGCTCTTTAGTCAACAGCACCTACACTTTGAAGTCCTTCCCACCCCATGGGTCTCAGAGCAATACGCGGCTAGCCAACACTAGCGGTCATTCATCATCTTTTGTTTGTCAAACTAGTAACCAGCAACCATGTGAAAAAGCCCAGGCTCTTGGACCTCACGCCTGATTTCCCCACAGGTTGTTTTGCAGAACCTTGTTATGTGTGTCATCCTGTTCTACACTGTGTACTACGTGTCTCTGAGCATGGGCTGCCTGACGCTCAAGTAAGTAGCACGTTGTCTTCAAACAGAATTAAAAAGCTGACATTGACTATGAAAGGAGTGTCTATTTAATATTTGACATGCCTGTATGGATGAGAGGATGTGGATTTTTTAAATGACTTTTTACTTTCTTAGGTAAAAATAAACAAATCTTCTATATTTGAAAATGATAAAAGTAACAATCATGAAATCAATTGGATAGCACCAGGCAGGACTGTCTCTCTTACCTCTTTGGAGGATGGTCATGGAAAGGAAGTGAAAATATTACTCCGTGGGCTGGTATTGAATCAGAGGAGGGAGCTTGGAGATAATCTATATCCAATTTAAATAATTTCTGTTACACCCTGGAAATAGCTTTTGAGAGTCAGGAGATCTGCATTCTACCCTGAGTTTTTACTAACTTCCTGAGTCATCTTGACCAAACCATAGAGTGTCTCTTATTTCAGTGTCTTCATTTGTCAAATGGAAATAATAATCCAAAAAGAGTTATCACGAAGACGAACTGAGATAATACATGTATTTTTAATGGTATCATTTCTATGTGATGCATTATTTTTCTGGTAATTTTTTGTCTTGCAATGGTAGAATTTTGTCCCTACCAATTTAGGTTGCCCATATTTTGATTGCCTTAAAATATATCATACATATTTACAAATAATTTCCTAGAAGTTAAGTGTTTATACAATTTAATTTTATTGTGCAAGCAAAAAATGTTATTTTAATATGCAAATTAATACCAAGAAATAATTATACCAATTTTTGCAATGGAAAGAATGTAATTTGGCATGCTTGCAGGCAAACCAACTGAGTAAGCATCTGGTGCTCACATGCAGTCTCAGCCTCTGCCTGGGACGGAAGACAGTGAGGTCATGCCTGGGGCAGGGAATAGGCAAGACTGTGCTGGACACAGTCTTATCCAGTACAAGATTTCAAAGGCTTGTAGTTAATGTGAGTTGGAGGTGAGGAATTTGAAGACCTTGAAGCTCTAAGAGGCAGCTAACTGATAGACCAGATGTACATAATTGCAAATACAGGCCCAGTAGAAAGTTCAAACGTACAATTATAGACTCAAATTTTAGAACAGGAAGGGATCTCAGCAATTAAGCTCTTCAATTAACAGATAAGAAATAGAAGCTTGGCGAGGTTAAGTGACTTGCCCAAGTTCACAGTTACAACCCCACCAGGATTAGAACCTGAGTCTTTTTGCTTCCAAGCCTTTGTCTGCTCACTGCTGGGTATGAAGTTCTCCTCCCACATTTGATGGCAGGAAGTACCAAGATTACAGCTGAGACCTCAAATACAATTAAGCCCACTTGTGGACAAAGTGGAACTTAATTGGACAAAGAAGACAATGTGGACAAGATGTTATTTGGCTGCCATCCAAGTAGGCCAGTTTTAAAATATGCCACATTGTGCGTAAATCTAATGACTTATCTTTGCGTGTGAACAGTGATGTGCAAAGCTTTTATGTGCAGTTATGAAACAGTTATGAATTATCTCCTACAGAGTGAACTATTTTCATTTCTAACATCTTCAGGGCATATGAGTTGGATGTCCTGGCTCCATTTGATTTCAAAACAAATCCCTCATGGCTCAACACAAATTATAAAGGTAATTGTTTTTAATTTTTAATCCTTGCCAACTAGTAAACTAAGTGCCTCCAAAAATCAAAATGTTTTTAAAAAGAAAAATTTTATAAATATCAGGTCTGCCCCTGAGTTATCTCTGCATATTATGTCTGACTATAAAATTAATTAGAAAAAGTACCATCAAAAATTTTAAAGTAGCTATTCCCAGAAGGTGGAATAGGATGGAATAGGTAGAGAAAGGGAATAAGACTTCTTATGTGAATTTTTATTTCATGGTATTATGGGTGAATTTTTTGTGCACTAAATATTTTTTAAAGAAAAGGAAGAATAATTTAATGTACTGATGTAGAAAAATGTTCATGAGATTTGAACTAGAAAATGAAAACTACAAAAGGGTTTGTGTAGTATAATTTCATTTTTGTAGAACAGAGTAAAATACATGATGTCAGTTGTAAAAAGTCTGGAGAATTATGCAACAAACTGTTATCTCCCATCTGGGATGACAGAGAACTTTCATTTTCCACTTTGCACATTTCTCCTTTGTTTTATTTTTCTTCCCAAATAGTATAGAATTTGTTGCAGAGGAAAAGCAATAAGAAAGAATATACTAAGACAAAAGTTATGTCTTTTAAATTTGGCATTTTTGTTGAAGAAGTTATTAATACCTAGTATGTTCATAGACCTTATTATGTATGTACACAATAATCACACCTATATTTATTTAATATTTGTCAAATATACTCATTTTGGGGGTATTCTTGGTGAGTTTGTCCCATCTTTAGAAAAGTAAAATTTTAATGTTATTTTCTATTATAAAATAAGGAAAATTAATTATTGAAAGCTTAGAAGATATGTACAAGTAGAAAAGAGAAGAAAATAAATCACGAACTTACTTTCTATACACAGTAATTATTCTTAACATTCTGTTCAGTTTCTCCCTACTCTTTTTTTTAATGTACTATCAATTCTTTAAACATTACAATTCTTTAGAATACCATCAGGCATCTTTTTAGAGACAGATATGCAAATATACAAAAATTGCCTGAGACCAAAGAAACCAGATTTTAAATATAATTTGTATAGGAGACTTGGTCAGCTAAAATTACTGAATTCAAATGAAAAGCTTTAGAACAGCTTCCTCAAGTGAGTATCCTTGTTTTGCCATTATGGATTCAGTTTTGGATAACAAAGAATACTTGAGAACAAGAGATTTTTATTCTAATGAGGTAAAGAGGTCTAACATTTTATCTTAACTTTCTCTTTGGGTACTTCCCTAGTTTTTATCAGGACAATTCACAAATGATAAGAAGATAGTCACAGTAAAGAGTCACGTATGGGGTGGTATGTTTTGGGTAGGGAGAGAGATTGAAAACTCAACTGTTCTTATTTAATGCTTGCCTTTGTGTTAGTCAATAAAGATAGGACAATGTCACAGGCTGGCCAAGAAAGGCCATGTTTTAACATAGCTAAGATTAGTGAAGATCCCCAGGATGTCTGGCACAGTTTATATTGTTCTTTCTTCCCACGAAACATGAACATTTGTACAAAGATATCAATAAACCCTTAGCCTATTAGATCTTTAATTTGGGGCTTGGGGAGATAAGTGCCATAACTCTTGAAAGTCGTTGCTTTGAGAATCTAGACTTGTTTAATCTTGGAGATAAAATGTAAGAGTCATCTCAATCTAGACCTGTGTAATCTTGGAGATAAAATGTAAGAGTAATCTCAGAGCCTTGGACATGTATTTCAGGTCAGGTTTCCTATCTGTTTCAATAATTTTGTCACCCAGGAGATCAGTTTTAGCCAGGAGACTGGAGAGTGTGAGTCCAGTTAAAACATTTTGATTCCTACTATCTTTCCTTTCCGTTACAGAGAATAGTTTGCATATTTCTTTCATTTTAAATTAAAATCCTCTCTGTAATTTTTTGAGATAGATAAGCTAGTACTCCATTTCCCAATTTATGGAGAAGGAAACAGACTGATGTAGAGGTTAAAATCCTGTGCAAGCTTTTATTAACTCTTCAGTTGTAAAGGTGAGGCTAGAATGCTGGTTTCCCTACTTCCAATTTTATACTACTTCCTTTAAATCCATGCTTTCTTTCATAACATAAACAAAGCATAACTCTATGTCAATATATGCCAATACATCTTGTGCATGATTAAAACCACTTTCTCTAAGCAACTGCAAGTTAACCTATAAAATCTCTAAGTTTTGACAAAGGAGACAGTTCTATTTCCCTATGTAATGTGGAGGTTCTGTAAGTCAGTGGTGGAGGAAGGAGTGAAGTGTGATGGGAAGAGGTGGTGTCAATATGATCAATTTGATACAACAGGACAGCTCCTTCCTTGATTTTAGGTGGCAGGACATGCTGAGCTGATCTGTATTGCACAAAGGAATTCCTGTGCAATGGAAAAAGAGTTAGTGCGAATCCTCCACTCAACTTTTGAAGCCAATTGAGTTAAATCAAATAGAATTGAAGAGGAATAAGTGTGAGGCCTTTAAAAAGATTGCACCTGGGACTTGCCGACTTGAGTGTCTTGCTTACCCACTAGACAATCAGTGGTTTGTTGGATAATAAATTACTTCTACACAATAGGACATAAGGTGATTATTGTATTTTTGCTTTGAAAAATACATAGTTTGTCTGCATAGATTTATTGATTCCTGAATTGTATGAATATACCAATTATTTCCTGTGTTTTAAAAGGAAAGAAAGGTAATTTGTATGGAAAGTATAATTTACAAAGGGAACTTGGTGGTATATTGTTAGGGACCGACCTTCCACAGCCCCACCGGACAGAAAAGCAGAGACATCGAGGATGCAATCACACAAGAGGAGGTTTATTTTCTGGCTAGCCAGGGTCCAAGCCCCAGAGCACCAACGCAGTGGCCACTCTCGCAGGCAAGGACCCCGACCGGAACAACGGCATGCCTTTTATCCCCATGGTGCACAAGCTGCGCACAAGCTGACTACGAGTGGATCATGCGTTGACCTTTAAATGATTGGTTGCCCATTATTGCCTTTTGAAATAATTGGTGGTTGGTTGCCCTCTATTGCCTTTTGAAATAATTGGCGGGTTGGTTGCCCTCTATTGCCTGATGGGCCAGTCGCCCGTGCTTCAATGACCTCATCCCATAATTCCCTCTACAGCGGTGTAGCAAGCAAGCAATGACCAGAAGCAAAGGTTTGCGGTTAGCTCACTGCCCCACCCAAGTAAATTCCTGACAATTGGAAAAATTCCTCTGCCCTTCCTCTGCCCTACAATGTGACATATATTGGCTACTTTAACGTTTGATGAATCTCTCCTTTGATACCACTGTAGTCTTAAGATCCATACCAAAGACAGGGCAGATAGTTCACTTATCACATGTTCAGGGCTCTTAGAGATTTGTGGTCCTAACTTACAAATATCTAGTTCTTTATACATGTTCAGGGAAACTACTCTGTGACTCAGTGGATTTAGAAGAGTATCTCCATCCACACCTGTCATTTATGAGGCCATTTCATCCATGGTTATCAGCTATGTTTCCCAGATAACTATCTGAACATAAAATGTTATTACAAAGACACAAAGGAATTCATTTCCAAGTTAGGCAGTGCTTGGTACCAAAGAAATGTTATAGTTCAATAAACTCTTACATTTGAGTTTTTCCATTTCTGAAAACTTAAAAGTGAATTTTTTCATTAGATCTTAATTCATCTTAAAATGAGATTTGCAATCCAATTACAGATTTGCATGCATTGGTTATATTGTAACATTTCCTTATTGTATTTCATCTTCTCAAGTGTTGAGTACAAAGAATATGAAATACAAATTGTATACTGTTATTTTTCTATAAATCTAAGAATTATTTAAAAATGGAATATGTTAAAAGTTTTTACCCAAATATGAGGATTGTTAAGAGATGGAGCATTTAAAAAATTCTTACATAAGTTAAATTTCTTCCCAGGGTAAGTTTCCATGGTCTTGTTACTAGCTGTATTTCAGAATTGTTGGTTGCTCTAGTCCTAAACGATAATATTCTTTCTTTTATTTGCAGTTCTATTAGTCTCAACAGAGGTCACCTACTTTGTTTGTGGATTGCTTTTTGTTCTGGTTGTGGAAGAATGGGTTTGGGATTATGCTATTTTAGTAACTATTCTTCATGTTGCCATCACTTCAACTGGTAAGCAAAATAAAATAACAGAAATAAAGTGTATTAAATCTGATGTTGTACCTAACTCACTTCCTGAGTAGAACCTGTTGTATGCATATTCTCCTATGATGGCTAAATAATAAGTGATGATAAAAGTTCTTCATTCCTCCCCTCCTGGTCAAGTTCTTCTATAGCTCCATCTTCCAATTCAGAACTGTACTAAAATGTAAGGATTTTAGTAAGAATGTAAGAATGTAAGAATTAATGTAAGAATAAGTGTTTCCTATTCTTTCACATTCAACTTGTCAGCAACTTGTACAGTGTTTGCTTCTGTAAGATTTATTTTTCCTCCCAAATGCTTCTATGAGACAGAAACTGGGGAAAATGGGACCCAAGGAAACCAGTCCAACAATAGTTATTTTAACAAGAGTATCAGTTTTTAGACTAAAGGGTTTTTATTTCTACCTGTGGTCTTTGGAGTCAAAAGAAAATGGATCCAAATTCCAGTTCTACCTTTTACTAGGTGTTAGACGAGGTCTCGTACAAGTCACATCTCTCTCCTCTGTTTCCTCCTTTATAAAGTGGAGAAGATGGGTGAAGTTTCAGCGAGTCAATGAGAAATTGTCTGACAGTGCCTAGCATATAATAATTACTCAGTAAATGATCATTTCATCCATTCATTCATCCCTCCTTTCAGAATTTACTCCTACACTGGAGTAAATCTGTCTCCAATTTAAGGACACATAACTTCCAAATAAATTGCAGCTTTCCAGCTTCAGTGCTATTTGAGAATACCAGTATGTTAACTCCCTAGCATTGGTTTCCTCAGATACAAACTGTCTCTCAGTAACTCAGAGAATCACTGGATGGTGCCCTTTCTCCGCAGCCGGCCCCCACCCCCACGCCCTGCCGCCATCTCAAATTTTCTATTTTACTTTAGGGCTTAAGTTTCTCTGCAAATCAGCCACAGGATATTTGTAAAAGGGGTTGGGGGGCATAAGGTGGTTTTATCTCCGGGGTTGAGATGTGCTATAGGTTGTGGACCCAGAAAAGTTATGAGTTAATTATCTAACGTATGCCACATAAAAAATGCTTAACAAATGATTGTTGGATAGCACTGAGTTCAGAGTGAAGTGGTTAGAATTGCAGGGGGACTCGGGCATTGAGGATTCATTCTGAGGCCCGTCATTGCTGCATGTCACTTCCAGTCAATGTTGTGACCTGACATAAGAACTCAACAATTCCCATCATTTCCAGGAGCGAGTTCCAAATATTTGATTTACTAATATAACCTTTTAGGTCATGACTGAAGTATAACTTTGGGGCTACCTGATTTTATGAATGTGGATAAACTTTCTCTTTGTTATGTGGGTGTGATTTGACCAAACAAGTATTTCTTCGTGAGTTAAAAAAAAAAAAAAGTATGTTTTAAAAAAATGAACACCTTTTTTTTTTTTATTGCAGTTATGTCGGAATTCCCCCTGACATCACATTGGTGGGCTGCTTTAGGTATATTGGAATTGTTCCAGTTTAAATTCTCTAATGAACAAAAATAATGTTAAATAGAACAACTTTTGGAAATAGATTTTATTATCTCAGACAGATTTTATAATAATATTATCTAAGATAATAATAATGATGATGTCTAAAATAATGAAAAGACACACATTTCACTGAAGATAGACTCCACTCGTTGTTTCTTTTGGCCCAAATATACTCTTACGACAGCCCAGATAGAATCTACGTGAGAGAAGGTGCCATCTTAACATGTACTTGGAAGCAAAAAAGGTCAGTGAATAGACATATAAGAAATATAGCATACTCTACTTCTCCTTTTAACAAAATTTGAATTTATAAAGAAATGACATAGACTTGACTTATATGTTGAGCAATAATGGGGGTGCTAACGTGAGTGAACACCTTCAAAGTCTTTACATCCTGGAAAAGTTTTCATTAAGCCCTAAATTTCCTTATCTTGCCCCCAAGTCTAATCTACAATAGTTTTTCTCTTTCCCCATCATTTTTCCCTCATGGCTGGGAAAAATACCTTCTCTGACATCTCCTCATCTATTCACAGAGCTTCATGTTCTCACATCTGCTCATGGGACTACATTTCATTTATTCTTATGTACCAAGACACAGCTTCCTCTAATTTCTTTTTGTCTACAACTTAATCTGAATAAATCCTCTTTTAGCATTCATCGATCCTCAAAAAGTTTGAATTTTTAGGAGAATTTTTAAGAGCCTAAAACCTGATTTATAGATCACAGGAGGGAACTGCCCTCCATAGAAGGATTCAAGTGAAATAGTCAAGACGTAAGATATGTCTCTATAAAGACAAGAGTATGATGAAGGAAGTGGAAAAGACAACAGAAATGATTGTATACGGAAACTAGTAAAGCATGAAAAGAGCTCCTGGGTATTGAACAAAAAACATATGACTATACTAAGTTAAATTAGCCTCTGTTCTTTTCCCCCAATTAGTATAAAGGGCCTCAAAGTGTAGTTTACAGCAGATTTCCTCAAACTGGAATGTGCTTAATGCATGCTAATCACCTGAGGATCTTGCAAAAGTTAGTCTGGTAGGGTCTAAGTAACACCGGCACTGCTGGCCCATGGCCCATACTTTGAGCCCCAATGGCATACAGGACATTCTGAACCTTTTTAAATCTCTTATGCAACCCCTAACTTGAGACAAGGTCAATACATTCTATGCCTTTACAGTATTTTCAAGTTCTTACAATTGAGAAATTCTTCAAGGTGTCTAACTTTAATCTCCCCTGTTGTTTTCTAATATCATCATTTCCTAGAAGTAGTCATCTACATTTAGCTCTTAGTTTTAAATGATCCCATTTAAATAATATATTTTCCATAGAATTCTATTTTATGAGATAGGAAAATCAAGATATAAAACAGCAAACTGTAGGAAATGAGATTGTTGCAATATCACTTTTATTTATTTCCATTCTTAATCATATTATGTAATAATATCATATTATGTAATAATATTATATTATATTATGTAATAATTAGAAATTTAGGAAAGAAATACAACATCACAATATTAACATTCACTTGTGCTAATCAACTGTCACATAAAGCAAAGTTGGATGCTTTTAAACAGATTTCAACATTTGTCAAGTATGGAAACTATTTACTTCTAAATCTGTTATATCTGGCTTTCAAATATAAAGATCATATAATATTTTTTAAAAATTGCTTTAATTGATTTGGCAGTAATCTTGTCTAATATCTTCAATCTGTTCTGACAACAGCAAGCATACCCAAATATGTTCTGGTATTGCCACTCAATTTTAATGGCCTACACAATATTAATATTATTTACCACTTATTGATCTGCATAATATGAGGCAGGGATATTGCATTTATCTCACTAACCGTTATTACAATTTTGTGAGATGCCTATTCTATTCCAATTTTGCAAATATAGAAACTACAGCTTGTAGAACTGGATAATTTAGTAGAATTCTCACAGCCGCTAAGGTGAATCCTCTAACCAGTCTTTTCTTGCGACATAAATGGCCATCCCAGAGACTCCTACATAGAAATCTGGAAGCTACTACTGGAAAGATGCTGGCTCTGCAGTGGGTATCATCTCTAAGACAGAGAATATACGAGGTTAAGAGCAGAGCTCACAGAAATTTATAGAGACAAACACCATTTAGGCAAAGGGAAGAGTAAAAGAAAAGAGGAAAGAAGACAGACTGATCAATTGGTATCACAAGCTCTGATAGGACTTCCCTGTCACTTTCTATTTCTGTGAGTTTTGCTTCCAAATCAAATAGATGCAAACATAAGATATGATTTAGGAAAGAAGATTCAGATGGTCAAAGTATCGACTTCTACACTCAATTGGAAAATAGTAAAATGTTACTTAGCCTTTTGAAAAGAACATTATAGAATTGCTTAATTTTCATTTTCAAGTATTTAAAAAAATGTTAAGAGCTAAAATGTTCATAATAAAATATTCAGTCCTCAGGACAGTGGCTGTCACACAGTAGAGCATCAATAAATATTTTTGTGTGTGAGAATTAAATGAGACGAAATTAAGTAGCAGAGATTTTCCTGGCATGGTAATGAGTATATTTGGGCTCCTGACAGAGAACACACTCCAGTGGACTACCAAGGGAGGCTGTTTAATTTTCACCCTGGGAAGGTTAAAAAAGAATATAGATAATTACTTGTAAATAATACACATATATTAAATATTATACAGATATTATATATATATTAATATGCATATATATTTATGTCAATACAGACTTATATGTAAGGTGGGGACCTAAAAATATTTTTATATGGGTATTTTTATGTCAGGTATTTGGATCAGAAGGCCATTCAAAGACTTTATCATTCTAAAATTATAGTAAATAACACACTGGACATATATTTGTGACACATTATCTACTCTTCATGCATGGCATTACTGTCTTTGTAGCAGTACAAAAAGCAGTGAAAATTATTTCAATTATTTTTTTCTGCTTGCAAATTGAACTAAATTCATCAATCATATATCTAATAAGAAAATTAACCAAGTGAAAGTGGACTTTTCTAAAGATTTTTCTTTAGCGTAAGCAAGACATCGACTACAGTATCTTGTCAAATTAGCTGTTTATAGTACCAGTATCATTTATATTTATATTTCTTATCAGCCTCCTTTGCTAGAGTTTAATTCTCCGCTTACCTTGTATGTCTGTTAAATCTTAGATGTGTAATTTTCTCCAGTATTCTTTGGTACATACAGAAAACACATGTAGAAAGTACTGTTTCATTTTGTATAAATCTTTCAAAGATATAAATTTTTAATAAATCAGAAAAAAGATACTGAAAGAAATGCCATAAGCATATGTGAAAATGATCTTTTCTCTCTGGAAAACAAGAATTTATCCTTTTTGTATTTTATTCACAATACCACAAAATTTACTTTGCCTTAGCCAGTGACTATATGGCAAATGCCACCTTGAGGCCAAGGAGAGTCGTGCCTTAGGCATAACAGAATGGCCAATAGAATTTGCTCAAACAGTTGGGTGACTATTGCAGTTTCAATATCCAAGACTGTATTACTCAGAAGACAGTTGCCACATGACATTTGAGGTAGCCTTCTTTGTTTTTTGGTTTTTTTTTTCCACACGACATAGTTAGAACTTTGTTTTTATTTGAATAAAAAATTTCCTCATAAGAGAACAGTGGCTAAACATCTGGGAAGTTCTATCTCATGGTCTCACATTGGATGCATATCTTTGTGTGAGGAAGTTGGGCAGTCCTGTCAGGGTTCGACCTCATACCTTTGAAGGGAGTTATGCTGTTCCTGCCACACAAGAAACAACGTATTTATGAAAGCTCTGGAAAGTCAGATCAGTATTTTAAAACAAACAAAAGTCATTGAGTCAATAAAATCTTAACTAAATACATTTTCGTAAAGCCAATTAGCTCAGGTAGGTGAAATTCTGGCTGTTAAAATATTTCCTATACTTAAAAATATTTCCCAAGTTAGTAAGCATGCTTTTCTTTTATAATTAGAGGGAAAACATCTTATAAAAATATATATTTGAATAGAAACAACACAAACAAATGGCAGGTTGAAGCGCTAGAAGAATTGAGAATTGTGAATACCTTGGCATGTGCTTTGACATCATTGCTTTTGAATTTCTGAGTTTTAAGAATTCCTTACTATTAATTTGACAGAACCGTGCACCTATTCCCTGAAAGAAATTTTAAATTTCAACAATTTACCAGCCTCAAACTATATTACCTATACTCTCTTAGCTGAATCTATAAACTACTCTATTTCAAATGCTATGTCAGCTTCGGAAACATTATTTTAGTCATGACAATTGGTTCTTATTCGTAATCTCACCAATGAATTATTCATTATTGATAGTTAACCAAAACTTCCCTTTCATTTACTTGCAGGATCTGGCTTAATTTCGATGATATGTGGAGGCCAGGCGTTAGCATACTGCTTGTTCAAAGACAACTTTATCTATCCAGATCTGGATGATTTTTAACAGAACATCTGGATTAATTTGCTTCAGAATTTCTATACTATGACATTCATCGTGTCAAATTTAAATTTTATTTTTTGTTCCTACTTATATTTAAGGTTAAATCTATTCATTATACTTTATAAAATGAAAAAGAGAAGTTAATGGAGAGCAGAACAACCCTAATAAAGAATTCGGGAGCAAAATGTTGCAAGCTCATAAAATGCAGTGTTTCCCAAAGTGTGTTCCATAAAACACTGGTTCTAATGGATGTAACTTTGCCGTGCAAGGAAAAAAGAGTTTCGTGTTTAAGTATATCTGTGGAATCCTGGGTCTAAGTAAAGCAGACTTATTTATTTCAGGACTTCTCAGAATCATTAACATACTGTTGTAAAGAAGGCATCTGTAAGCTGTAATGTATATTATATGCTGTTTCTCAAATGTACTTAACCAGGAACACACTTTAGAAGATGCTGAGGTATCATGGAAAGGATAAGGCAGAAGAGGGCAGATTCAAACTGCTGTGAATTCCTGCAGCAGAATTACATTCTGTTGTTGTCCCACAGTATCTGTTCTGTGCTAGAGCATTTCTTAGGAAACCACTGCC